CTGTCATCGAGAGTTTTATAGGACGATCACTCTACAGCGTTAGTGAGGGTTAACGTAGAACAATAAGCAACAGTATGCTAAGCAAACTTTTTTTGCAAGCGAATTTCTGATTTGCAAGTGAAGCGTGGAACAGCTTAGCTACAAAATTCTTAAAAAAGTTCGAAAGCAGTCTAGTGCAATAAAACCTGTATACACGAATAAATTCGACTGCTGAATTCAAAAAAATAAAACAGATTTCTTCATCCACTCCTCCTCTGCAACGTCCAAAATTGTGATGACCTATAGCTGTAAAACGCAGTATATTAGAAAGTTTTAAAAGGCCCAAATCGGCTATTCTGTGTTCATTCTATCAGGCTTATTCCACATTGGCTGGAATGGTTTTATAATACAAGTTATCCCAAAAATGTGTTTCTGTTAACAGCTCTTATATCCAATTTCTGCCCTGATGACTCATGTAAAGGACCAGGAGCAGATTTCCGTTCATGAGAGGATCTTGCAAATACAAGATTACGATATGTTTTATGTACTGTAGCGCAGGAGAAAAACACTATTGGATTGCCCAGAGATACTTCTCAATAAGCAGAAAATTTGTCTGATGGGGTTAGTTATACGCTAATCAATTATAAGATAACTATTCAGTATCGCACGGTTGCCAGATTTACGTTAAGCATAATTGTCACTTATGAACCCCTTACTATTGACCGTACAGGTACAAATTCCGCATTTAAATGCGTAGATAAAATAGCCCTTCAAACAATTCACTAAATCCTGAAAAGGATAGGAACCAAGCGAGTTTTTAACAACATACAATGTACACATTCTTTGGAACACTGTTGGATTCATACCTCGAATGTGTGTCTAACATTTTAAAATTCTCGTTTTTGATATATCTGTAGCAGCGAAATAAAAAGCTTCAAAAGTATGACCAATTTGTTTCATTGCTGTTCATTGCTCTTTGTTCTTAGGAGGAGAACTTCTCCTTCCTGAATGTCTGGTCATGGATGCATGTGTAACTGAAAAAGAAGCGATGTTAAAACTTGCCATAGAACCTGAACGTCTAAGACCATCCTATAGGATACATACAGATTGTTTGGATGAGGCTGATCCGCGTAAAATCTTACAATGTTTGGTATGTTTTAATTTTTGACTAACGATCACTACATAAAATCTTTTTTCAATTTAAAGATCTGCCACCAGTTGATCGCGCTTAAGGATGACTTGTTGGAGCGGATCTGGAGCACACATGAACTTTCTCCTGCTCATCGGCACGTTATGGCTATAAAACAATTTTTAGAACAATGTGAGTGGCAAAGTGTGACAGAGTTTGATCCAGTTTTATTAATTTCTCTGCTCATAATATAACTTTCCGCAGCTAATGTTGAATATGTCTTGGACAGTGACATTCCTGGATCAGATCCAAGTAATTCGATTGGTTGGAGAACCGAAAATTATTGTAGTTATGGTCCAATCTGTGGCATAAAGTTCCTCGTTGCATTTAGTGAGTCTTTATAAATCTTTTAATGGCATAGCCTAAATATATTTATTGAAGGAAAATACAGCTTCTGTTCACTATGTTGTTGTAAAGTTGAGTCAATTGAACGTCACTTTGCTAGCGAAAATCATATCATGCAGTTTCTGGTATGTGTATTTCTCCATATCTAGTCTTAATCTCGCCCTATTGCAATCCAGTTAATTCCAGACAATATCTAACCCCGTTGAAATGTTCCGCGTTTCCCAGTTTCCGCGACAGTCTCGTATGTCAAAAGTTCTTGAGATGATGGCAAATCCAAAGTTTTCTTTTGGAAATGAGCAAAGCAGAAGAGTTTATGCGGACTGGTTTCCGGAAAATATGACTGTACACATATATGCCGTTTGATTTTAATTATTCTTACAATTTACCTCGTCATCTATGTTTTGCAGGTAACTCTGAAGCATGAAACACATGAGTTTCCCACTTTAATGCCTCCGCTTACCCCTCTCGGGATTGACTCCGCATGTTTGTTTTGCACGGTATCAAAATTATTCGTGTATTGCTTTGTAGTCGCTGAGATTAAGGTCTCTATCGTTGCTTAGGTTTGCTGGCTGGCTGTTCGCGTTGACAAGGATACTGAGGATAAATGTGAAAGTGTTTGGAATTTGCACTGTGCAGAATCAACACATTTCGAATTTGCTGCGCGCAGGGCTTCTTTCGGATTCCGTAAGCTTCATTTCTATGTTTTAATTCACTTTTTGATAATATGAGAAGTCTTAACTGCGGGCATCTAACAATAGCTGAAAGAATCTTTATACTCGCGTTCTGAATGTTGATGTCGTCACCCGGATCGTTTTGATTTCGTTTTTTTTTGTCATTGGATAAAAATCTCTTCACCTCGTCTTTAGTACTCGGATCATTTTAAAATTTGGGTATGGCTCTCTCGAAGGGTGTAAAATTTCGTGGACAATCGAAAAAATCCCGAATCACTATCACTTTCTTCTAGCTATATAAGTAATGCTTACTATAGACTAACTGTCTCATTAAAAAGTGATATCATTGTCAGATGATGATTTTTTTGTACCTATGTCGTCAAATGTTCCAAAAGCTCCGTGGAATTTGCATGGAAGCTGGAAGGAAATTAAGGTAAGCTCTTTTATACAGACCTTTTCCATTAGAATGGTATTTGATTTACTGAGTTTATTTTACGAGTTTGCTGTTTATTTTACGA